CCCCCCCACCTCGTTCGTCAGTTGTATGGTTTCTTGTGTGTGTAGCTCAGAGTGTTTGTGGCGCAGTGTCCACTTTGTAGTTGAACAGTTTGTCATTTTAAATCAACACGGTGTGCTTTCTGTTACCGCCTGCAGTGCTATCTGGGGCTCCCATAATGCTAACGCTACAAGCTCACCTTTTAACAGGTGACCAAATTTTTGTTTCCTACTTGTCAAAGGTGGGATTTCACGTACTGGAGAAAACACACCTTTTTGGTTTAGCATGTAAGCTTCTCGACTTAATTGACAATTAACTGCTTCTGCAACTACATTGTCAATTGTTTGACCTTTTTTGAAAAGAGTTCACTTCCTGTATGATGTGATGGGCTTTTGCCATAATTTGGCTTTTTGCTGCTGTTTTGTGTGTTCTGCTCCATGAAACCCCTAAACTCCTTTCGCAGGTTGGGAAGCTTCATAAATGTTTTGTCAAGCCAGACACTTTGGAGCTGACAGATCAGTGCAAAGAAGAGACTGGGTTGACGTTGGAGGACATCGTTGATGCTGAGCCCCTGGACAAAGTTCTGGAACAGGTGAGTCAAACAGGTTTCATTAAAATTATTGTGATTCAGACTCTGTCCCATACTTTGCTGTGTTTTGTCAGTCAGCTGGCCTCTATTATGCTTCCAACAGGGCTACAGGTAGAACAAATGTGCCAGTTTGGAAATATTTATGGTCTCAAAAAACACAGACGGTAATGGTGTGGAACCTAAAGCAGCATCACCCTTTTCCTCCTATTGGGAGTGGTCAAGGTTAACATCACAGTACATTTTCTTGGCACTTGACAGCTACTTGCCAGCTCCACTACAAAGCTGTATATTGGCTCTGGTCGAGGGGAATAATGGAGATTGAAAGAGAGAACTCAAAGAATGGATTTTATTTATGTCAGAAATTGTTGACAGGAACCTCAGTTTATTGTCATGCCAAAATGAGGCTTTTAAATGAATTGGATCAGGATCAGATTCCATCTAAAGGGTGAATCCCAACAGTTTTGTTGACAGTGCTGAAAACTTGGCATTTGCTTACAAGTGTATAAGAAATGAATCAAACACAGCTACTTGTTCTTGTTGGACTGTTTTTGTGGAAACTTAACTGAATGTAGAAGGTAAAAGTGAAAACTCCCTGATTTCTCTTGCTTTAACTTCGCTGAAGCCAAGTTGGTCAGAGCAAAGCAAGTTGTAACAGTTTTTCCAAATAATATGTTTTCATTACCATTACATCAAAGCACTTTACTGATACCTGTTCGACTAACCAAGAAAACTTGCTTAAAATGGAGGTGATATACCTGAAAAATGTGAGAATGGGAAACAATATTTTATGTTTTTGCCATGTCCGGTGCAACTAACCTGATGTCCTTTGGTAAATGTTGGGATGTTAAGTTAATATATGGTACATAAAACCTAAGCTGTAGATAGATACTACACCTATCTATCTAAAGCATTGCTTAATTTTCACAAATTATGGACATGGGTAATAACAATGTTCAAATTGTCTTAGTTTATTGTAATTACATTTGAAAACTATACATTATATCCTGTTATTTTCATGCTTCCCCTTTGGCCCAGTTAACTCATTTGAAATTTGCCAAATAATGATCTCTGAGCTGATCTCTGATATATAAATCATGTCAGGAAATCTGTAAAATTCACCCTGGCCTCCCTCAGATACACTGCTCACAGGAATGGGTTTGTTTCATTTTGTCAGGGTTGTCTATTTTGTCAACTGAAATACCTGATAATCCAACCCACAACAGTTGTATAATAACCATTGATGAAGTGATTAGAACCCAAATGGTGGCAAAAGCTCACTGATGGTAACATACTTTCTATTATATTCTTTATTAATTATAATTTTTACTATCTCATCATGATATTACAGTAGTTACAAAATAATTTAAAGCAAAAACATATAACAAGATTCTACAGTTTTTTTTTATTAAATACAAATGCCCAGGTAACACTCCAGTCACTCCAGCGGTTTTTCTTGCATTTTGAGAAAATTATGCTGCTTTTAAGTCGTAATGATTTAAACCCTTCATATTAGTAACCTACCCAACACTATTCAAAAGGAAAACCGCAGCAACTTTTCAAACGGCCTATGAGAGCATGAGAAAGTCTGCCGGTTAATAAACCCAAAACGTTCCTCTGACATATTTTGCCCAGAGCAAGATGTGACAGAACAAGCCTGACTTGGGTACTAAGCTGTAAGCTAATGTAAGGAGTGTCAGATTTCCAGCATTGACTCTCAGAAAAATGGTCCTCCACCTGCGTGAGTTGTCATTGGCCATGACAGTTAAACTGCGCTGACAGCTTGAAGCTCAGGAGGGATGGGCAGAGCCTGGGGTGTGAGGAGATAAGTTGGAGTCACAGGTCTGGTCTTGCCTTGGTCTAATGCACACAGCAGACATCTGGAAGACGACGTGTTTACCTGGGACTGCACCTCAGTTTTAGGCTGCAGGACATGAGGGGCACCTTGCTATTACGTCTTGTTTTGTTGTGTTGACTTACCTAGTTTAGGCTGCCGTTTCTGTAACTGCACCATGGTTAGACTGGAAAAAGCTCAAATAGAAAGGCCATGCTTTGTTTTATAAAATATTGATTTCACAACGAAATTGGTAGACTATCAATTGTAGGCTTAAACTGACCTGTTTTAAAAGAAGATTCAAATGACTCAATGCTGTGGGATGTTTCCTAATGGAGCCCAGCTTTTAAAACAACTTGCTGCTTCAGCAACTCTGCCTTATAACAGGGTGTGTCAGCACCCTAGTCCTGATTCCTCTTTAGTGTTGCAAACTTATTACCACAGTGGGTGTGAAGTGTGCAAATCTATTCCTGCAGCACTTCATTAAGTCATTCTTGCAAGAAATGTTTTTGTTTTTGTGGTCATCTCTGCTAGGGGCGTGTCTTTACATAATTGGAAATGTTGCTAAACGTTAGGATTGCTTGTTTGGACTAAGGAGATATTTGTCACTCTTAGACATATTATTGTGTCTATGCCTTGCTCTATTCTCTACCAAACCAGCTTTGGGCAATCCATTTTTCCTCAGTTGTACTGCTGATGCAATTTATAAAAGACAATGCTTTTTTTTTTTTTTTTTTATCAAAGTGGGTGAAATTATGTCATGATTACAGACTGAGTAAGGCTTTATCTCATTTGGGTGAGACTGTGTGCTGAACCTTCAAATATTAACCCAAGCACTCAGTTTGTCCTTTTCATACCTGTGTGTGACTGGCTACTTTCCTTCCCTGTAGGTCATTCTGAGATTACTTTGTTTATTTAAGGAAGGGAAGAAAATGACAGTTTTTTCCTGGTATTTGAAAGTTCTGCATAGAGGTCTGGAGCAGATGTTTTGAATATGGTTTCATTTGTCTACAAGTTCATTAATATAAAAAGCTATTTCCTCACTTTTAGCTGGCTTCTTATATTGAGGTGTGTGGTCAAAGGCCCAAGGGCATCTGTTAGGTGAACGATTTATTAATGTAGTGAAGACTGGTGTGATTGATCACTTGGGTTTTTGCTAACCCAAGTTAGCACACAATATTCCAATTTTGTGTGAATAGTATCCATTTTAAGTAGAAAAGCAAAGATTGAAATTTCCCACTTGATTGGCTCAGATCAATGCATCTTAAACTCCTAATCGCATAAAACAGCATATATGTTGACGAAATGTTTTAACGTTGAATCAAACGGATAAAGGGCAGGGACATATGCTTTGATGCATAAAGGGGGATAATTTTATAATTCTGTATCTGTTTGATTCAGGCTTTCCTGCTGATCACACCACTGATGATTCAACAAGGATCATATATTTATCTAAAATGTCATTGCGACATCTTTTGATTCAATTAACTTTATTTCCAACTGAAAGACTTCAGCTTTTGTTGTCTACTCTGAGCAAAGAAAAGCCAAGTTTTTTTTAGTTGCTGCAAACAAAAAACTAAACTGAGCTGAACCATTGCTGACTTGACAGGCTGGGTTTTCAGTCAGACGTCAACATGTTGCAGCGTGCTGATTGCACATTATCTTAGATTTTGGAGACATTGTTATGAAACGTTGGGTTTCAGAGCTCACTTCAGATTCAACTGTTTTGGATCTTAATCACAGATGACGTTGGCATGATATATATATATTTTTTTCTTTTTTGGCTGGTATTATGGCACGGCATATAGCAGGTACTTGGAAGAGATTCTGTGCTGTAAAGATTTCTGACACCAAAACAACACTGCCTTTTACATGTAGAGTCCAAATTAAATTCATGATTTCAGAGATTAAAGACATTGGACAACAACATACATATTGACTGACTGGATTTTTCATATTTATCACCCATTTTTAAATCAAATAATTATGATATGATTATAGGCAACACATTTCTGCTTTGATTTTGACCCAGTCTCGAGCAGTCTTTGTGTCAGTAGCTTCTCTGGTGCAAGTGTGTGTTTAAACAGTTGCCCACATGGCTTGTCAGGACACTCCCTGCTTCTCTTATCGGAGTTTTTTTTTTTTTTCCAGCCACCTCCATCTTACCTCACCTCTGCATGCAAGCAGACCAGCCTCAGTGGAGAGTAAACTGATAGAACCATGTGCAAAGGCCACTTCCTCCCCCTCATCTTTGGAATTGCCCTTCAGAGAGGGATTGCGCTATTCTGCTTAACTGTTGGTGCATTTTTGTAGAAGGGAGTGTTGGATTTTTGACTTAAACAAGACTTTTTCATATTCAATGTGCAATCAATGACGTGCAGTGAAAGTATCGAGACAGTGAAATGAGTTATGTGGTCAGTTTATTGGTTTGGTTTGCACTGGTTATCAGTGAGGGATTTGTATGATGTTGAGCATATTTACTTTGTGTTCTTTGTTAAAGTTGAAGAGAAGAGTGGAGGGTGTGTCTCCACCTTTTCTTTAGCATTTGCTTCTCTCAGTAATCCGGCTTTAGTAATGGTCTGAGGCGGGGCTGTATGCTCAGGTATGAGCGGAGCTCACGCTTGTTATCACTGTAAATAAGAAATCGTTCAGCTTTGCCAAACTTAAAATGTGCAGCTTAGTTAATCTAAGAAACTTCCGTCTCATGGTTTGCTTGGTGTTTTCTCTTTGTGTTTACTGTTTGGACAATAAAAACCTCAGAAATTAAGATGAACGTTTGACCTTATATATGAGGACAAATTACCTTTTTTGACATCATCTCCTTAACATTTTATCTAAACAGAAATCAAGGAAATTAAAAGAGTTGGGTTGAACTTGTATACATTTTTTTGTTGTTGTCTATGCTTTGCAAATAATAGTCAGTCTTTCTGTTTGAACTGCTTATCTTCCATTTTATTGGGAGACCAATAAAAACGTTCACAGAAAGTCTGTTTCACATTGATCCTGATGCTTTAGTATTTTACCAATTTTGGTATTTATCTAATTCTGGCCACTGTTTACAGTACTGTCTTTATTGTAACATCATATATGTCATCTTGATAACATTTGCATATTTTAATTATGACCTCCATTATATCAACTCTAAAGATTTTATCTATAAATGTATTTAGATTTTATGCATAAGCTAAAGATTACTTTTGACCTGAACACCTGCTGAATTTAATAGTGGTTTTAAAGTGCTAAAGTCTTTACAAATATATATTATTCCCTGTTGGACTTTTTAAACAATGAGACAAGTTTAAAAACTACATATAAGCTGAACATAAATTCTGCTTGCAGCTTCCCAGGTCTAGTTTTAAAGAGGCTGTTACTTCATTAAGAGTGATACTTGTCAATCTTTTAGTCTCCACACTGAGAGTTTTTCTTGACTGGAAATATTTCCAAACAGCTGAATTTTAGCAAGGGAGCATTGAGGGGACCCTCTTTTAACCAGCAGACCTGCAGTGTGTAGAAACAAGTAGAGCATTGCACTACTTTATGTTCCACGCACCTGTAGAAAACTGCCGCCTAGCACTTTCAGGGAAAATTTTAAGGCTTTTGAAAGTATAACTTTTGTTTTTCTAAACCTTGACATACCTTGAAATCCTGCCACTATGCCAAATGTTTAAAGGGGTCGCTGTAAGTAGACAAGCAGTCTGACCTTGTCTGCTTTTTGAGAGTTTCTGTCCAGCCGTTTTAACCCTACAGCCTGTTTTGGTCTTGTTAGTTGGTACTTGAAGCTGTCGAGGGGTTTTAATCAGACATGTTATGAAGCATGCCCCAACATGGACCTGTAATACTCTCCCACTGCCTAAAAACCTCTCATAGATCGCCAGGGGCCGTGTGAACCAGTCAGCCGCTGAGTTGAAGGTGGTTCCACATCCAGATGGTCGAAATGCTTCTTCACACGGCACTGTGTTAGACACAAATCGCCCAACATATGCAGTAGCTGATCTTCAGCTTGTTGCGTCATAAAGCATGAAACTCCAGAAAGATTTTAGAAGACTATGCCATGACTTTTGTTCCTGATATTTGTCTATGAATCAGTGATGTAGACTCTCTGAAATCTCAAGTCTCTAAAATTATTACTAGCACATTTTAGTAAGACAAGCGGGATTGATTTGAGTCGCCACTTTTGATAAACCCAAGAACTACATAAAGTAAAAACTTTTGTCTACTGAAGATTTGACCTCTCTTACTGACTTGACAACAGACTGACACAGCTCTGTGTTATAAATAAACATGATTGTGTGCTGGTATTCAGGCCTGTCGCCATCAGAGCCGGTTAGACTTGCTTTTGTTTTTTTTCCCCTCATGACAACGGCTGAAGGTTGTGTAAAGAGAATCTGTGATCCTAATGATTAGTGGTGTGATCATTCCCTCCCTCCCCTCTCGCTGCACACACTGAAACCTGTTAGACATGCCTCTTTCCTGACGAGAGACGAAAAACAAAAACAAAAAAAAAACAAAAAAAATGAAATGACAAGCACGTAAACACATTCACTTATGTGCATTTTAAATCCCAATTTCCCTTTTTGGTTTAAACTCTTGACAGATTTTAAAAATCTGAAACATTTACTGCAAATCTGTGTTAAGAAAATGGGACGCCTCTTTTTTATTTCATATATTTTGGTGTTTCAGCTAAGCATGTTAATTAATGGTTTCCTATGTAATAAATAGAAAGTAACCCACACTTGTTTGTCCTTTCTATGTCTTCCCATGTAGATCCAGCAGTCTGTGTCATCAGAAGTAAAACGCCTCGGCAGAAGTTCGTACACGCTGTTGGTGAACGGTCCTCACGTCATTCGACAGGCCCTCCATCCAGAAGCCTCCAAAAAGGTAAAGTTAGAAGAAAATCTGTCTAGGTCTTATTTTTGTGTGTGTTTATTTAAGAGGACATTATTTTAATCCCTTAACCTCCTTAACCTCCATTGTATTGAGGATGAGGGTTAAGGGGTTTTAATCCTATAAAGTCATATACTGTATTTAGAAAATGGTTTATGGTTCTGCTTGAAGTAAGTACTTATTACATGTCTTTGGTTATTCTTCTTTTAACTTTTTATTCTCTGTCCAGAATCTTGTACTGCCGGAGTGTTTCTTTTCGTTTGTGGACCTGCGGAAAGAGTTTCTCAAATGCTGCCCAAATGCCAGCTCTGTGCCGAAGCTCACACTCTCCTCCATGTTGGATTGTATCCTTTGTTCTCTTTTCCATTTTGGGGATAAAAAAAAAAACAGCATACAGAACAAAAATATTGCACTGTTTGAAATGTTTACTGTTAACCTAAAGATCAAAGTGTAACACCTGGGGCTAAAGAACATGATTTTAAAACCATCTGAAAGGTGACGGCCTTAACAGCGGGCACAGATGTTGGTCTCCCTGCGGAGTCAGAGGAGACGATAGGTGTGAGAGAGGCGAACAGCATGGTGCAGCTGACGCTTTGCATCCTGGATGAGCCATACAGTAAGTAACTACCAGTGTTGGTACACAGAATAAGTCCACAATGCAGTAATATTAGAGCCTTAAAATAGCTGGCTGTAGCATTATCTGTAAAAGGAAGGAATAACTCAGCTTAGGACAGAATGAACTGAAGAAAGATGTTAGATGTGTTACTATACAGAGATAATTCAAACTATAACCCGATGTGTGCTATCAAGACTTTGTCTTATTCTCAGCCAAATAGGACCTTATTCTCAGCTTGTTTAGTGCATTAAATATATATTTTCCCCCCTAGATCATAAATTCTACTGTGCTGAAACTGTGAATTCCAAGTTTGACTCTGGCACATGGTAAGTAAACCTTTTGCGTTTCTCAATTATGCATATATTTCACATTTTTCAAGTGCACCGTTGCTTAAAGACCAGCAACCCCTCGCCTCCAAACTCCCCAATCGTGTTCAAATCTCAAACCTTGGTCTGAGAGCATTAATTACAGCAACAAGGAAAACACAAGTGTGTCATTAGAGCAGTCCAACTTTGCCATCAAGTGCTTAGCTGGATATTCAGTAGCTAAGCAGTAGATCCTGCTCTTCTCGGGCAGCCAAGAGCTATCACTTCAACCCTCTGACATTTAACCAAAAGAGCGTCACTGTGTTCGGCACTTACTGTGAGAGGGCCCCGTTTCTGCCGCCTGTGGGCAATTTAGTTCAAACTGAACAAGACTGGGGAGAAATCTCAGTCATGTGCAAAAGCACCAAGAATATCAGCTCTTAGTTGTGTTGCTCAAGTTTCTCAAATGTCTTTTTTTTCCTTTTTTTTTTTTTTTTTCTTTCCTGCAGCAGTAAGACGGAGCCGGTGGACAGCGAGACGGTGATCAGAGCAAGGGGCCTTCCGTGGCAATCATCAGACCAGGATATCGCTCGTTTCTTTAAGGGACTCAATATTGCCAAGTATGTTCAACTTCACTGCTTTTCTTCTTACACCTCTGTTACAATGAATAAATCATTTAAATTCATGTTACTAAAACTGGAATGGTGACAAAAGAGGAGCTGATGGATTTATTTTTGTCAGAGCTTCCACAAAATATATTTCAATGATTCAATGATCCAGTGGTGTTTATATATATATATATATAATATATATATATATATATATATATATATATATATATATAATGATAATAAAAACAAAGCAGTTTTTCACTGCAACATAGAAATCCACTATCAACTATCAGGTGTTCAGTGGCAGCTGTAAACACCCTTTGAAGTAGAAATGCAGAAAAATGTCAGTGGAAATGCCAAAAGCACTTTGATCAGTTGCCTTATCGTTTCTGTGATGTCATCATTCAGAGATGTGTGCATGGCAGCTTTGGGAAAAAAAATAGGAAAAACTTGTGTTTAAACTACATCTAAAGAGAGTCTGTTAGATTTTACATAAAAGTGTTATTACCTTTAACAATTAAATATTCTAACTTACTGAGGATGATTGATCCAGAGTAGATTTAGCACTGTAAAAAAGTAAATCAATCAATGTTGGACTAAAAACATGTTTATTGACCCAATAGTTATTGGTTAATATGTGGAAGTTACAAAATCTCCAATGATGACAAAGATGTTGAAGTACCATCCTCTGCAAAAAAAATGAAAGCTTAGGATCCTTTTGGTTTTTGTTGTGTAGCTGTTTGTTGAGATATCAGTTTTGTGTGTGTCAGGGGCGGCGTGGCCCTCTGTCTGAACGCTCAGGGCCGGAGGAACGGGGAAGCCTTGGTTCGCTTCATCAACGCAGAGCACAGAGACCTGGCTCTGGAGCGCCACAAACATCACATGGGCAGCAGATACATTGAAGTTAGTCCTGCTAACTTATGCTTCTTTAGGTTTTAGTTGCCAGTTACTTGTTTAATATCCATTCCACTGAGTATTGATCCCGTATCTTCAGTGTGGGAACTTTCGGTCTGAATCTGTAAATCAAAAATACACAAATTCAGTGAAAACCCTGAATAAGTTCAAATACCCCAGCAGTTGTTTTATTGTTATTTATCAGTCATGTGACTTGGCACTTGCAGTTTATGGATATATTGTTTTTGTCTTTTTTTTTTCTTTTCTTTTCTTAAAATTGTTCAGGTCTACAAAGCGACGGGAGAGGAATTTCTCAAGATTGCTGGAGGTCAGATTTCAGATTTTTTTTTTTTAAATTCCTTTCATCTCATTTCACATATTTTTATAAAAATTTGGTCAAACTTGTTTTGTTTATATAAGAGTTTATTTTGTGGTTTCTCATACTTTCCTATCCTCAGCCCCCCAAGCACACGTGTGTGTAAAGTTGCAGCTCTTTAGCGCGTATGAGCTCCGTCTCCGATTACCTGTTTTTTTGCTTCAATCCAGTGATTCTCCGGCAGCCGCTCTCCATCTAATAAAAGGCACTTTGTGAGCGGTGCACCCCCATACCCACTATCACCAACCCCTCTGAGGCCAGTTGCAGAGAAATGTCATTCTGGGCTCTGAGCGGCTCACCTATTCAGCCTCTAGTTTGACTCCCGAGAGGCAGAGAGGGCGGCTGTACGGTGAAAGGACAGACTCTCTGTTGTTGCAAACGGGGTGTGAAAAGACAAAAGCAGAACCTGGGGCCTCTTGACCATTGAACAGCAGCCAACGATTATACACGACAGAGATAACAGGCACACTAGCTCTCAGCAGCAGATAGCTTACAGTGGCTGCTTGTCAGGACCTGGACTTTATACGGATGAGTAAGGATCAATACAGATCAAAAGCACTCAAGACTTTAAGCAAATAAATCAGACAACATGGATACCTTTTTTTTAAGCTGAGTGAAACCTGTAAACATGAAAGAACAGCATGTGGTCCTTAATATTTCCTAACTTTTTTTTTAGAACTTGAAAAGTAAATAATTTATGTTATTGGTTAGAGGATTTCTGAAATACCTTTAAGTTGAATCATAGGTTTGTCGCATCAGAGTGTGCAAGCCTTTTGTGCTACTAAGTGATAATTTAAAGTTTAATTCTTGTTGCGTAGATCTTGTTTAACAATATTCCAGCTGGTAGTGCGACTTACAACATGGGTTTATTTTCTTTTGATACACAAACCTTACATTTGTCAAAAGTTTAAACATTGTAATCTTTGGTTGAGTGGTCAGTTTATTTTTTTATTTTTGCCTAAAATAAATTTTTTTCCACCGAATCAAAGTAAAGAGGAACATGATTTAAAGAAAATAAATTGCCACCCAAATGCACCCACTGATGAGGGTCAGTGAATAAAGCAGTGTGATGGATCTGAAGTGGTTCAGCTTGCTGCACGCTTTTATGGACAGCTGCCAGTTTCCTTGTAACTAAACACCACTTTACATCTTAACCACTGGTTTGCTGTTGCACTAGACGACATTTAATTTTGCTACAGAGTTCACAACGCCACTGAAAGTATATAAATGAACATTATGTTTAAAAAAATGGGAATAAAATGAACTTTTCGTGAATTGTTAAGTGAAAAATCTGTGTATTTGAGTGAATTGGTGCTGATTTACAACAGTTTCATTGTGGTACCAGTGTGTGCTGAATGGGTCCGTGCAGCAAGAGGCTTATGTCTGTTGTTGTTAATTTGTTTGTTACTCTCAGTGGAATCTCAGGTTGCCCCTTGTTGTTAAGAATGGGGATTTTTTGTTGTTGGTTAAAGGAAAAATATACTTTGTAGGCAGTAAAGATCTACAATAATTATAACCATCGTAAAAGTAGTTTTTATAGTTCTTTCAAAGTACATAATAAAGCTAAATTAAATTTCTGTTAACTTGTAGAGCTCAAAAAACCTAAAAAAATTATAAAAGCTAAACATAGACTAGAATAAACAAGAGAAACAATGGCATACAAAACCTAATTAGCAACTTTTTGTTGTTTTTCTTAATTTAAACATTTATTTAATTATGTATATTTATGACAAACATGTTGGGGTATTATATTTGTCCTTGATACTACATTTATATTGGAGTTCATAAAAAAAAAAAACGGCATATACATTTTGCTGTAAAAGATAAGTTGAATCCTAGCAGGTCGCTAAAAATGTTGTGCCTGTCAAAGCAAATTGGCAACATTAACATAAAAAGGTACATTTTTAATAAGTATCTGCACTATAATTCATGTATCTTCTCTGTTACTTTAGGGACGTCCAATGAGGTGGCCCAGTTCCTGTCTAAAGAGAACCAGGTGATCATACGAATGCGCGGGCTGCCGTTCACGGCGACGACACAGGAGGTGCTGTCCTTCCTCGGTCCTGAGAGTCCCGTCACGGACGGCGCAGAGGGGCTCCTCTTTGTCAAGTACCCCGACGGACGGCCCACTGGTGATGCCTTCGTGCTTTTCTCCTGCGAGGAATATGCTCAGAACGCTCTGAAGAAGCACAAACAGATTCTGGGGAAGCGGTATATCGAGTTGTTTCGGAGCACTGCAGCCGAGGTGCAACAGGTATTTTTTTTTTTTTTTTTTTTTGTGTGTGTGTGTGTGTGGGTTTGTGAAATGTACACTCTCAAATAGGCAGTGTCATGTAAAAATCAACTTTTTTGAGCTTTACGCCATGCTATAATGTTATTTCTTCATCATCAGCACACTTGGAATGTTGCTTTGTTTGATTCTGAACTAAAAGTGGAGCATCGTGGTGGGATGGCAGGGATTTCATTCACATTCTGCTGTTATGGAGGGAGGAAATCTGTTCCTAGATCAACACAGAAGGAAGATCTGCCACTCAGCACAAGGGGGTTTACTCCATGTAAACAGACTGGTTTTAGAGCCCACTGTGTAAATACACTCCAGAAATGGTAGACAAAAAAAAAAAAAATCCTGGGATGTTGGCCTCTTGGGAGAAAAACCATTCAAGAAACCATAGTTGTCACATGTCTTAGCAATACTGAATGTTCTGGAGATGTTCTGGAACATGGCAACTTCTAATAATAGTGTTTTACTGCGTAGCTGCAGAAAGTAGGCTTAGCCTTGCTAATAATGGGACAATCATGAAGTGAAACTTTCAGGTTTTCTTCTGTTTTTATATTCAAACATGCTCGTTGTCCCTGGCTTCAGCTGCGTGGAGTCTATGTGAAACCAGTGTTCAGCAGCTGCTTCCTCAGTTGATGTCATGGGAACAGGGAGAAGTGACAAAACATCCCAAAACATGCTAATTTCTTGTGCTTTAAAAAAAAAAGTGTTGCCTTTTTAATCTCATTAATTGGAGTGTTTGTCTGGCTTAAATCTGTAGTTAAGGCAGAGGTTCCCAAACTGTGGAGCGCGCCCCCTAGTGAGGGCGCCGTGCTATTGCAGGGGGAGCGCAGGAAGCCGTCTGGATGAAAAAAAACATGAACGCTGTATGCGCTGGGTTTTTACCTTAGAATGGCCAACTCTCTGTTATTCCTCTGTCAATTTGATACAGTAGAGGCTTCCACACTTCCCATATCTGTGTCCTCTGTCACTTTTATCAGCAGTTAAAACTGTTTAATCAGTTGTTAACATGTTGTAACCTGTTTTTCCGAGCCGCCTTTAAACGCAACATGAACGCTACGACCCTCGCGCTGGGTTTCCACCTGTGAAGGAGACCTGCTGCTGCTGGGCGGAGCTACAGCTGTGTTAGAATCACGGCAGCAAACCAGCAAAACGCAAAGAACTTTTCACAGTTTTTCCCTCCAAACTAACCGACTGAGTTGAGTAAAGCTGTTGGATGCAGGTAATGTTAGCTAAAAGATGACTAGCTAATATCAATACAGCACCTTAAGCTTGTTAACAAGTAGCCTGTAGGCTACTGGTGTTGTCTGTGTTCAGCTACGATTCATTTTGCCCCCCAAAAAGTTGATCCCTCCCCCCACCCCCTGTTCGTCTGGA